GTTGTATAGGCATTCCCAGTCCTTCATTTACCCGGATCTGATGGCGGCAAATTTGCAACTGGACTGGAGCTCAGCAGTTTCTCTTTGGAGTCTGGTCCTGAAGTTTTTTTGCTGTAAGATGGCTACCTTTACATCTGCTATTGTGTGGCCAGAGAGGTTGAAGTGTTCTCCTACAGGTTTTTGTATATTGCCATTCCTGATATCTGACTTGTGTCCATTTATCCTCTTGCGTAGTGACTGTCCAGTTTGGCCAGTGTACATAGCAGAGGGGCATTGCTGGCATATGATGGCATATATAACATTGGTGGACGTGCAGGTGAATGAGCCGGTAATGTTGTAGTTGATCTGGTTAGGTCCTTTGATGGTGTTGCTGGTGTAGATATGTGGGCAGAGTTGGCATCGAGATTTGTTGCATGGGTTGGTTCCTGAGTTAGAGTTGTTATGGTGCGGTGCGTGGTTGCTGGTGAGAATATGCTTAAGGTTGGCAGGTTGTCTGTGGGCGAGGACTGGCCTGCCTCCCAAGGTCTGTGAAAGTGAGGGATCATTGTCCAGGATAGGTTGTAGATCACTGATGATGCGTTGGAGAGGTTTAAGCTGAGGACTGTAGGTGATGGCCAGTGGAGTTCTGTTGGTTTCTCTTCTGGGCCTGCCTCTGGAGATTTCCATTACTTGCATCTGAAGAAGTGAGGCTCTTACCCACGAAAGCTTATGCTCCCAATACTTCTGTTAGTCTCTAAGGTGCCACAGGACCCTCTGTTGCTTTTTACAGATTCAGACTAACACGGCTACCCCTCTGAAGTTTGTTTACATTTGCAGGAGATAATGCTCTCCTGATTCTTCTTTACAGTGTCACCAGAAATTTCAAACGGGTGTTCTCATGGTATTGTTGTAATATCACAAGATATTTACATGCCAGATGCGCTAAAGATTCGTATGTCCCTTTATGTTTCAACCAACATTCCGGGGGACATGCATCCATGCTCATGATGGGTTCTGCTCGATAATGATCCAAAGTACTGTGGGCTAATGCATGTTCATTTTCATTATCTGAGTCAGATGCCACCAGCAGAAGGTTGATTTTCTTTTTTGGTGGTTCGGGTTCTGTAGTTTCTGCATCGGAGTGTTGCTCTTTTAAGACTTCTGAAAGCAATCCCCACACCCCATCCCGATCAGATTTTGGAAGGCACTTCAGCTTCTTAAACCTTGAGTCGAGTGCTGTAGCTATCTTTAGAAAACTCACATTGATACTTTCTTTGTGTTTTGTCAAATCTGCAGCGAAAGCGTTCTTAAACGAACAACATCCTGGGTCATCATCCGAGACTACTATAACATGAAACATATGGCAGAATGGAGGCAAAACAGAGCAGGGGACATAAAATTATACCCCAAGGAGTTCAGTCACAAATTTTAATTAACACATTTTTTTTAAACGAGCGTCATCAGTATGGAAGCATGTCCTCTGGAATGGTGGCCAAAGCATGAAGGGCTATATGAATGTTTGGCATATCTGGCACGTAAACACCCTGCAGTGCCGTCTAGAAAAGTGCCATGCAAATACCTGTTCGCACTTTCTGATGACTATGTAAA